GATTGATGTAACTAATAAATACAGTGACGGTCATGAACTATAAATATAACATGCCTAGTACCAGAGATCATCCAGTGATACTTTTAAAATAAATTATGATGAATCATGATATCAGTTTATTGGCGGTCAATATTTGCTTTTTTAATTCGTTTTTTTTTCAATTGGAGATTAAGTGGAGGAGGATAGTTTGGCTATAACCCAACAGTTAATGTACCGCAGACCAAAAATCGAATATTAAATATTATACAAAATATATCATGTCTTTCAAAATTAAACAATACACCACAACCATGGGAATTTAATTAGTAGGGGTTTAAAATTTTATAACGGGAATAGAACATCGTCTTGGTAATAAATAAGAAGAAGTGTATGACACAAATCGATTTATAATGTTATAGCCGACAACTGAAATTAAAAAAATTCAGTGGTCGAAAGCCATACATAACATCGAAGTTAAAAAAAGATCAGAGTTTTGGAAGTCATGACATCGAAAACTGTTAGAACAGAAATACTTTGTAACTTATTCAGAAGAAATTAAATTTGAAAAAGAAAGGCACATAATATTAAAAATAAATAAATAAATAATCAGATTCGACCTTTGTCCATTTTCATAACGCAATAAAGAAATCATTCTTTTATGATTTAAACAATATTTTAGTCAATAAATTAACAGATTATATATAATAAATTTACAGATTATATATAATAAATTTACAGATTATATATAATAAATTTACATAATATATATAATAAATTTAGGATATCAGCTTATATACAACCGCTTGCGTAGAATGAATATTCAACAGATTTGTAACTAGCAATCAGAATATGATTCAAAAGATATGCAACTGGCAATCAAAATATAAACACGTAAATTTAAATATATATCATACGTACAATATTTAGATGATAATTTAGGATTTCTTAAATTCCTTTATTCATTTCTGCAATGATGTATATGCGGGCTTCCCGAGCGGAATTATTTTATTGATTAATTCCGTTATTGGTCATTTCGGGACAAACAGTTGGTACAATTGTATTTCAATAACTCGCTTGTGCGTAGGAGTCTTGAGCAGTTGAAGGAATCCGAAGGATCAGGATAAAATCCACAAGGTTAGACAGGTGACAGGACGTGTTTGAAAATCTGATAATTGATAGTCAACAAACAATATATTGATATAAGAATCTATCCACCGATTAAATCTTTTATTCCTATATTTACTACACGTCTTATGAAGAAAGGTTAGAGGTCATGTATCACCTTAGAAAAAATTGGTATGCATATTCCGAAATAGGTCAATAATTATTGTTAAGGAGAAAAATAATGTCGGTTTTTATCAAATACATGTACACTAAAAATATTTAAAACTTACCTTATAATTTAACAACTGTTTAGTCAAGTATAGTTCCACTTATTTCTTAAAAATGATAGTGTTTGATGTTCATAACCATCCCCTTTCTTCCTCGACAAATATCTTTGGTGATTAACGAAAACTAAGTGATTAACATCTACTGATGTAAGTCATAAAAGATTGATTTCTTCCTGGTCATTTACGATTATCGCGCCTTTTTTCCTAATGAATGTCACACTGTAATAAGCCTATCAATCTGGACTACCATAGTTGAAATTAATTAGGTGGCGTCATTAAATTAGTTCGCGATCACCTTGAAGCCTTCCACTAGGCTATCTGTTTACACTAAGGTTTATATAATTTAATATGGGGTAATATAGATAAAAACTATTTTATTATGTCTGCCGCTTCATAATGACCACTTCCTAATTAATCTTATTATGGCGATTTATACCTGTTATTTATTCTAATATAATTACATGTTTTCGCATCAAGAGATATTGATGCTCTGTTCATTTTTAACTTGATTGTTGATTAATATGTCAAAGACAGGTGAAGAATTGGTTTAATCTGCTAAACACCAACACAGTTCCTACTATCAATATCGACCATTCCATGTACAAAAATCCAGCCCAAAACTTATACTTTGATTACTTATCGAACCAGTAATCATGATCACTCCAGTATACAGAATATAATTCTATTGAAGGATATAACAAAATATAAACATCGTGGACGTTTAATAGACCTAATATTAATCAACGGGAATCTCTAAATACTAATCAATTTCTGAAACCAAATTCTTCTTTATTAAATCTGTTACTAGAAACGTTAGGTCAAATTCAGTTTTGCAAATAAAATATGATGTCATTTTGAAAAGCAATATTACCTTGGCATGGAAGAAGAACTCGTAAAATCTAGAAATACCAGAGTTTGATGACTTTTTTTGTCTTTTCTTGAACGTGGTATCTATACGAAATAAATATATTTTAAATGTCCATTGCCATCTCGTTATTAAACGAACATGGTAAAATCAAATCAAAATAAAAAGCATTTGCATGTATCTAAATTTATTTATATATAAATAATAAAAATAGAATGACATTAATTTGATGAATGATTAACGCCAGCATGCCAATTAACAGAAAATTAATACCGAAAGTCGAACAACCGTGTTCGAAACCCGGCCTAACGATGTTTTAGGCCAGGCAAGGAAAGTATAACTATAGACATCGTCGTGTGGATGAAATAAAAAGCAAATGTTCATCAATGTACAAATTAGTGTGCACGTCATTTGGAGATTGAGGAATAGCAGGTAGAAACGTTAAAACTCTCTTATTATATCGTAATGGAAATGAAATGAAATGAAATGTAGTTTTATGGCACGTCAGCTCCAACCGGGCTATATTGCGCCAAACATATGGTGAATATTACGAGACGGGCTAATTATATCACAGAAAAACATTATATGCATAAATAAAAACAATATCACAGTTAGTAATATCGCAATGGACACGTAACCATTGAAATAGTGGTTTACCTCAAAGTGACCGAAGTATGTAACGAGCATTAAATAGTTCCATTCCTAACAAAAGAAACAAACATCCACAGTTATTGTATAATTTAAAATATTTGCAGACATTGTAAATCATTTTCAATCATTCTAAAATTAAATTATTCTATTCTTTCAGTTGTTTTAAATTATTGAATAAGTCTACATTATTTTAATATATCACTTACTATTTTCGCAATTATGATTAGGATATAGTGTGTGACGTATTTCAAAGCACCTGTTATTGGGTAAGGTTTAATAGACATTAAAGTATTGTATGAGAGCCCGGGGTGTGTGATTACGTACTTTGGCGATTGATGAAACTTACATCGTTTTTAAACTTATTCACATTAACACAAGCCTGAAGGGTGAATATATTACATGAACAGTTTATAAACGGTAGGTATTTATAAACAAATACTGATATCATCTATACCCGAGGATGATTCTACTCCCCAGGCTTGTTCTGGGTCGGATGGTTTACGTTCTTTAAACGCTCACAGTAAGAAACTGAAATTTAACGGGTTGATCATATTCCTGAAGCTGTGGTTGCGAACATCATCAGCTAAGTAAAGAACCAACAAACCATGCAGATCGTTCACTCATTTTCCAAATGTCCAAACTGTATACCTTTAAATATGAAAACTGTTGTTATTATGTAAAAAATGACTTTTTAAAGACTTTCATGAAGAGTGGAATGGCCAGTACGAAAAGACATACACTCAACGAGATAGGGATGGTGGTGTGTATATCAATAGAATCCAGTGAAATTTACCAGAACTTAAAGTTAGAATAATTGTTGATTTGAATAATATGTGGACTTAACAAGCTGCTTTTGAAACAAAACTACTATTGTGTATGGTTATATACTCTATATTTAACTGTTATTCTGGCATGTTGGTGCTTTAATTATTGTTATTATACTTACACCACGTTCACTGTAAGGTTGGGCGGATCTAGATGTAAAATGTGTTACATGTTTGAAGGACAATATTGGTGCCAGTCATTATCACATACGTGATAGAACTGGTTAAACACGTTCCAAATATAATTTTAACACAGAGCTCATTGCTACGATAGATGAGTAATCAATGTTTCAACAATAGGAAGTGACGAACGCAAAAGGAAAACACGAGTCATCCCTTTATATAACTAAATGAAGTGACGGGTGATAACAGATAAATGGTCGAATTTCTGCTCACTAATAATTCCTTCGAAGACCAAAAGTTGTTGTATTATTGAAATAAAATTGAACCATGTTAGTCCCAAACTGACCTAGTTCGTGTCAGGTGGCCGTTAAACACCATTCCTTTCGCTCTCTCGTTTTTGATCAAAACTGCAGTTGGCCTTAATTGTAGCGTCGAGTGGTCTGGAATCAAACATGCGTAAGTGACCACCAAGACAACTGCGCCTAATATCGCCATAGTGGATTAAGATGATAACTTCTGTACAACGATATAATGTAATATATGTAATTATGTAATATATGCCAATTGATATTCCTGATGCGAGTTCGTCATAATAAGTTTTTATGTTTTATTTATAACGCTGTCTATATTTTTGTCTTTTTGATATGCCAGACCCGGTTTGGTGGACTAGTGTAATTTTGGGTACCTGTTGAATTTACCTTTCGTAGTCAAACAGTAATGCATTATAAACTGCTCTCTTTAAAGTAAATCAGTGGTGAAAAATGTTCCAACTCGTTAATTTAACCCCTGAATGGTTGATAAATATAACTTGTGATAAAGTCACACACCATTAGACCGTACAGAATTAGTACACAGAACATCGTGATGACTCGTCGACAATCATGTTGCCCCACCCCTTATTTACGGAGATTATTCAACAAACTTTTCCTAACCATATCCTAAAATGGTACGTCTGCATAATTCAGAGATTACTATATAAAATTATGTAAATCATCGCTTGTTTTGATAATGCCCCGTCCCATTGTAGATGGACCAAAACATGACTCAATTTCTGGGACACAGAAATTCTCTATGCTAAGATAATGCGTTGATGGTCATTGCTCTGGCAACACATATATCCATTTATTTGTTTCAAATATTGCTGAAAATTATGTGACTAACAAAAAGTTAAGAACTAAGTTATTTATTCCAATCAATATAATAACATGTAGTATACATATAGTAAAAATAGTCATTGTGTAATAAAATATAATAATAATATAAACATACAATTCTGTTCTCGGTAAATAATAAACCTGATAACTCTCAGTTGATTGTACAATGAGGCAGCCATTAGCCTGTTCTATCATATATAAATTATTCATACATTTTCATAGTTTCATCATGGACCTTATATTATGTATTATAAGGTCCATAGTTTCATGTTCACATAATATGGACTCTCAACACCAAGTACAGATACACAATTACTGAGTTTATAGACTCACAGTTTCTAGTTTTTGTGGGTTATCAGGTTTAGGTAGGATGATCACAGAATCAAAAAATCTTCATATATTTGTTCCAGGTACTTGTCAGTATTATCAAGATGTTTTTGATGGACAAATCTAAAGAAGTCATATTGTGCTCTAAGATTATGTAAGAATATTTCACAGAGAAATGAAATGGAGTTTCGTGGTGAATCAGCTCCAACGGCGATATGTGTAGGTTGATTACCGTCAAAACATTTGTAGTTATTAAAAGGGCTACTCATTATACCCCCCTTTAAGCTTTTATACAGTATTTTTCATGTGCACCAATTGCACCATAATCACATTAGTTAAAGGACAATATTGGTGCCAGTCATTATCACATATGTGATAGAGCTGGTTAAACACATTCCAAATATAATTTTATCTCAGAGATCATTGCTACGATAGCTGAGTAATACAGTTTTTCTGAATCGGAAGTGACGAACGCCAAAGGAAAACACGAGTCGCCTCTCTATATAACTGACTGATGTGACGAATGATAACGGATATACGGGCGAATTTCTGCTCACTAATAATTCCTTTGAACACCAAAAGTTGTTGTGTGAGACTGTGAGAGGATATCTGACAATTCATAAAAAGAATTGACTGTCACTAGATAAGTGAACACGAAAGAAAAACAGAAAAAGTCCGTGCATTACCATGTTTTTATAAGGTATAGAATGAATATAAACAAGGGAATGTACGGACTATTTCTATTTTTCTCGTGTTCTCTTATCTAATGACATTCGCCCGTATATCCGTTATCATTCGTCACATCATTCAGTTATATAGAGAGGCGACTCGTGTTTTCCTTTGGCATTCGTCACTTCCGATTCAGAAAAACTGTATTACTCACCTATCGTAGCAATGATCTCTGAGATAAAATTATATTTGGAATGTGTTTAACAACATTTATAAAAAAGTTCATATTTACAAAATAGTTCACATTTACATCAATAAAATATAGAATTAATCTCCAATGGTTCACATAACTATATAATATTTCCCAAGCAAGACCATTTAGTAAAAAAAAAAAAAGCTTTATTTGTAATTTGAGAACCAACTTTCGACAGCAGCAGCACTTTTTTATCAGCATATAATTAGAGGATTACTAATACTACAAAGGGATTTCTTTCTTTATCATGGTAGGTGGGTGGGGGTCGCTAAAGCTGCAAAAAGCGCATGTAAATTTATTGGGGCAGTGGTGTATCACAAAGGTGTCAGTGCCTCATACCCAATTCAGATATATAGTCAATAAAAAATATTGTTCATGAAAAACAAAATGTGCATGTATACCAAGCATGTTTAAATGGAGCTGGATTTGAGGTACCATATCAAATCATAAATCAGCAAAAGAGAATTAAAAATATACACAAAAATCTTAGATTCTAAGATATTCTTTATAAATTATACAGAAAATGTGATAAAGATTAAATAAAGATTCTTCTCCTTTTACCACAAGTTGTCATTACATTATGATCTGTGATATTAAAATTATATAATTCCACAAAGATTAGACCTAGTCAACTTAATGATTATTATTTCTTACTTATAAATGAAAGTATAAATAAAATCAAGTTATTGTATTGAAAAATTGACAATCCCTTCATTATCAGCCCATGCATTTTTAATGGGGGCCAAAGGAAATAGCCCTATTGAGTGACATATGACAGGGATGGTTGGTGTCATCTGCCATCATATTGTCATCCAGTCACTAATTTCTCACACCTACATTCATGCTTTCTTAGGAATTAGGCTGACTGAAAGTTTGGAACATAAAAAGCAAAACATTATTTATGCTGAAGAGGGCTGCTAGTCTAATTTGCAAGCGAATTATTCTAGACGAATTAATGTAAAAATTTGTGGAAATATTTTTACTGGTTTTATTTGTTTATAACAAGAAATTAACTAAATAAATATAAATATAACCATTCTGAGTGAGTAGGGTACAGTAATTACAATGTATTTGATACATCATACTCATCCTTATATATATTTAATTATCTGATATAAATAATAAGACAGTAAGCAAATTTACAAATAAAACAAGCCAACAGTGAGGCTGATGTCCTCCGCCGAAATCCCAAAATAAATAGATGACACATATTAATTAATCGCACATTTATTTTTTTCAAAAGTATAGAGCAATCAAACTATACACTAAGTTTCATCACTCTCTATCAGATAGAATCAAGATTATCTTGTCCCAAAGCATCGACCAATGAAATTGATTAGCTCGGCTTAGCTTCAGCTCGAAATGTTAATCACTGAACTCAGTCAAGACATTCACATAATGAACATCTACATCAAGTTTAAACATTCTACCTGAATTAAAAGCAGAGTTGTTATGTTCCAAAGTCTTGACCAATCAAATTGCTTATCACTCCTTAGCCTAAGCAGAAAATTCTCACCATCGAACTTAGTCATGGTAATGATATAATGAATCTATATTCAGAGTTTCATTGCTCTCACTTCATTATAACCAAAGTTATCGTGCCCCAAAGCATCAACCAATCGGATTGCTTATCTCTGCTTAACCTATTCAGACAACGTTCATCATCGAACTCCATCAAGGCATTCACCTAATGAACGCCTACACCAAGTTTGAACATTCTACCTCAATTAGAAGGAGAGTTATTATGTTCCAAAGTCTTGACCAATCAAATTGCTTATCGTTCTGCTTACCCTCAGCAGAAAATGTTCATTATCGAACTTAGTCAAGGTATTGATGTAATAAAGCTATACACCAAGTGTTCTCACTCTTACTTAATCAGAACTAAAGTTATCGTGTCCCAAAGCTTCAACCAATCAAATTGCTTATCTCTATTTACCCTAAGCAGAAAATTCTCATCTTCGAACTCCATCAAGGCATTGACCTATTAGACACCTACGCCAAGTGTGAACATTCTAACTCAATTAGAAGGAGAGTTATTATGTTCCAAAGTCTTGACCAATCAAATTGCTTATCGTTCTGCTTACCCTCAGCAGAAAATGTTCATTATCGAACTTAGTCAAGGTATTGATGTAATAAAGCTATACACCAAGTGTTCTCACTCTTACTTAATCAGAACTAAAGTTATCGTGTCCCAAAGCTTCAACCAATCAAATTGCTTATCTCTCTGCTTACTCTGAGCAGAAAATGCTCATTATCGAACTTAGTCAAGGTACTGATGTAATGAAACTATACACCAAGTGTCCTCACTCTCACTTAATTAGAACTAAAGTTATTGTGTCCCAAAGCATCAACCAATCAAATTGCTTATCTCTGCTTAACCTAAGCAGAAACAAATGCTCATATCACGGAATTGACCTAATAAACACCTACACCAAGTTTGAACATTCTAGCTCAATTAGACAGAGAGTTATTGTGTCCCAAAAAGTGTGACGGCCAGACGGAAAGACAGACAGACAGACAGACAGATGAACCCATTTTAATAGTCCCCTGCTTTCTTCGATTTTTATAAAAGTAGAAATAAGATCAAATCATAATCAAATCACTAAGAGATAAATGAATATATATTTGTAAATAAAAATGATATTCTAATAAATTTTGATATTCTAATAAACTGTATACATATATATATGAGTTATTACGTCAGGTGTTTTCTCTAATATACATGTAATATGTTAAAACTGATATCTCTTGAATGAACTCAAATTATTTTATACATGAAAGTTTGTCAAAATAATTTATTCTAAGAAATGAATAAGAACATTTAAAACCATTTTAATATTTTCATAATGGCTGAATGATGAAAATTCACTCTTGTACTATTAATTATAATCTTTCAAATGATAATTGTAAGATTGCGTTGTTTGAAATCTTAAATAAATAAAGATGTGTAATAATAGTGTTTGTGCACAATTTTGTTAAAGGCCCCTTCTTTCTTGTGAGATCCAGTAAGTTACATAGCAATGAAAACTATTACAGCAATAGTAAAGGCAACAACCACAACAACATGTAGTAAAAACAAAGCAATCTTCAAAGTACCAGACTGAAAAAAAAATTTATATAAATTAAACAAATGAGAATTTAAACAAATGAGGGACATTTAAATGTTGTTGTCTTGTGGTTCTTTTATTGCTTACTTGAACATATTTACTAACACAGAAAAGTTATCAAGAAGTAATTTGATGAGCTTCATCATAGTGTTCCTAGGCAACATTTCACTGAACTTGTACATGTAAAGGTGGAAAATTGCCTCAAAATAAGTGAATGGTTAAACCTAATTCCTTTCATTTTAATCAAAGACTTCTTTATATGGGGAACACTTACCTCAGCTTTAGGTTGTTCTTGAGGTGCTTGCTGTGGGGCTCCTTTCTGTTGTAATTCATAACTTGTAACATTTCCTGAAATAATATTATAATTTTACTTGAAATAAATAGGAATTTCAACAATATTAAACAAAAGACATACGTATAAAAGTGTTTGATAAAAATTAGAATAGACTTATCACACAGTACTGACAGTAGATCTGTATAAACCATGTTCGTTGGAATTATGGGAGACATCATCTATTGGGCAGTAGCAAACAAAATAATAGGAGTTAGTGTCATTCACTGACAGTTCACCTGATGTGACCTCTCTCCAGTCAGATCTATATAAAGTTTCAGTTTAAAAATAAAACGAAATGAAATTTTGACTAGTACGTAAATCAGATTGTAGAAATGATGTATAATGCAGTGAAAGTGGTTTGTTCTATTCTCCAGAGATTGTTGTTTTATCTTTACAGTCAGTAAATGAAATTGAGTAATTGTCGGTTTTGTCATTGTGCTATGATATCTCTCAGCTTCTATTATTTCCAAATTGTTTTCGTCAGATATCTGTTTTACCAGGTGTGAAATATAAGTAAACACCATACTGATTTAATTACCAACAGACATTAATAAAATACACTGATATTTTAAGCCCAAATTAAAATCTATCTGTCTACAAAAATATAAAAAAATGACAGGGCATTCAGGGCATTTAGAACTTTTTCGTATTATTATTATTATTATTATTATTAAAGATGCATTATGTAAGATAAAGAGCAGACAGTTCTCAATATAATAGTTTAAAAATTGATAATGGAAAAAGAATAAATTGAAAATTTCAGTCAAATTACTTCATTGTGATGAAGTTGTAAATGCTTGAAGAATAGTCTAGTCTTGATTCTCATTCCAACAAATATCATTGTTACGATAATAAACAAAGTCTCTATTATACATTTTTAAATTAAATTATTAAATAGTGAACGTGCTTCAATCTGTTCAAAATCACAACCATATGACGACCTAGAGAGTTGATTATGTGAATAAATGTCTAATTAATAATTTATATAACATTTGCGGCCAATAGGAAGATCTGCAATTGGCAGATTTAGCTCTTACATAATGCATCTTTAAGTTTAAAATCTATAAAGCAGAATATATAAATCTATATGGTGATAATTTGATGAAATGCTATATATTAGATAGTAGAAATGACTCTGAAGTAAATAATATGTCTAGTGTTTTTCAGAATTTACACCTCTCTGTTATACCTTCCATCATACACTGTTCAAAAACTGAACTCCCGATTTCTCTGCTAGTCTTTAATTATAGGCCTATAATGCTAGGTGTTTCAGATTGAAATTTGTGTGAAAACTTAAAACTGTCCCAAAGTTTAATATAACTTTAGGTGGTTTGGCCACAAGCCCTCAAAATAGCTATCAAAAAATGTATAATTAATAATTTACCGCTATATAACATTTAAGGCCTAAAAAAAGACCTGCAATAGGCAGATTTAGCTCTTGCATAATGCCTGTTTCAGTGATTGCAACATTGAACAACATGATGAAAATCAGATCAGAACAAATCGAACAATAAACAAATACAATCTAAACAATATGAACAACAGTTTCAAATCTGTTAAAGATCCATTCTAAGGAAGCGGTTATATAAAAGCTGATAATGCTTGTTATCGTATCCTATATTCATTATTTAAATTCTGTAAATTTCAGGAATAAAATATTGTTTCAATCAACATCAGAACTACTAAATTAAAATCTAAACAATATGACAATCTGAACTAAATAAATAGTAAGGCATTAAAATCTAAACAATATGAAAATCAGAAGAAAAGAGAACAGTTTACAATTAAAATTTGGATAAATGGTCTTTATAAGTTTTTATTAAACAGGTTTATAGAATAGAACTTATAAATGAATTATGTGTAAACTATTTTTGGAACTTCTATTTTTGGGGTTAAGAGATTTTTCTAATGAAAGGATTTAAATGTCTCGTTCTTTTCAGATTATCATCATAAAATGACATCATTGTAAGAACATTGAATGATGTGATATCATTCCATACCACCTTAGTCTGAATTTTATTGCTGTTCTACCAAATATATCATTCTATGATGATAATTATTTTTTTTTGAAGTGGTTTAAATATCAATCTGATTAAAACACAGATCCTATTTCGTTTCGTTTTTTATAGTTCAAAATTTCGTTTCACTTGTCTTCACAACACTAGGATCTGGAAGAGTTGTAATATAACAGGCATTCTATTTGATATGAGGAATTAGCAAATGAAATGGCCTTTACGGTGAGTTCTTGGTATTCTCCGCCTGGAACTGTGGGTAAACCCCTAGAAATGTCAACGCTGATTGATTAATCAATATCTGACACCATAGGGTCAAAAGCCGCTTGTTTGACTCCTGACGCGACATCCCAGTACAACTGGTCGGATGTTCATGTAGTGTAGGCTATCGAAAGTATATAAAAAAAAACAAAACGAAAAATAGATCTGTATTTTAATCCGATTGTTTAAACATATACCATATAAAGACCACAAAAAACAAGATGAAACAGTCTTCAAAGGAGAATTAGATAAATTAAAAAATTCTAAAGAAGATTCTACTCTCATGCATAAATCTATAGTTATCTTTGCAACAATAATAAACACCTATTTTCTTACCATGCAAAAACACTTTAGAACCATCTGTTGTTAAGTAATTAAAATAAAACATGCAATTAATAAATAAATAAATAATGGTTACAATTATAACTGGTGCTATTTGGAACTTAAAGTTTGTATTTCTGCGATAAAAAGACTATATACAGCTTCAGATAGTTGCACAGGCAACTCAGAAGAATGTTTCTATTAGTTTTCCATGCAGAATTAATGAGTTTTGTTCACTAAAATATGTCTTCAAGGGCTGTGTCCTTTAAAGTTACAATTTCATATTTTTAAGTTATATTTTTAAAATGTATTAAAATAAAGCCTTAAAATAGATGGTATCTATAAACAGTCCTACCTTGTTAAAGAATAATCCTATTAATCCTATAATTCACTATTGCCAGTTGAGAAATTGGCAAAAATATCATTTCAACTTCAAGTTCAAACATTTGAAGATAGCTATTCCATGGTGGGGAATAGGAAAACAAGGGAGGTAATTGTGTTATTATTTCAAGTGTGAAGATTTTTAAGTGTGAGAAAGATAACCTATGATCGTATAATAGTGAGTTGACAACCTATTGAGCAAAAGACATAGAAATAATTATGTTTTGACTTCCTTAGAAAATATGAAATTGTAACTTCAACATGCACATTGTCAATAAGCTATAAGGTACTGTTATTTTAGTAATTGAATGCATTAAAATAATCACAACAGTTCTATATTCTGTATATCTATATATATTGGTTTCAAAAATTCTGATTATTTTAGTGATTTCAATACTGTTATAAAGGTACATATTTCTTCTTTCTAACATATCAATATTATACAACCAGAGAATCATTGTAGATATGTGGCTCTGATTCAAATTATCTTCCAAAGAACTTTTGAGATTATTTGATGAGCAATCATTTCAAGCCATGCAACATGCTATCATGCAACTTAGTTTTTTTCTATATCATGCAAATTCAATACAATGGACAAGAGGTGCCAAGGCCTTAAATCTCTCATTGAGTATCTATGTTAAGAATATATATGCATGTCAATAAATGTAAAATAACTGGTCAATAATTTACAAAATATATATTTGTGTATTGATTATTGATACCCATACTTAAACTTAATGCAGAAACCAAATGATGGAAGGCCAGGGGTGTACTTATGGATGTGTGACCACAAAATCCCCAGGATTGACAAATTCTCAACAACTCATTTTTTTCTCCCTAACAAATCTCTAACTCACTTTGCCTTACACCTTTTTAACTCTGGATTTTATATAAATATCAACATTTAGAGATTAACAAATTGATATAGCTATTGAAGCATAACCGATGTCAATAATCAATTCTTATACATCAGAATCAGTTATGTACAGAATGTACAACATGATAAATAAAGAACTGAGCAATAATAAGCTTCTTCAAACCAGATGATAAAGAAGAGGCCAAAATTAAGGACATCTTTATTTTTATCTTCAATGCCGTTCAAGGGTTATACTTACTTTCTTTGCTTGCTAATAGTTGAATCAATTCAAAACAAAGAATCACCAACATTTGCCAGACAATAAATCCAACCATAACCCATACAGCACTGTCTGCTATTTGTGCTCTGGACATTCTCGTTCCTATTGTCACTGTAATTACTGTAACAAAAAAAAAATCCATGTTTTATATAAAAAAGAAACTGTTATAGATACAGCCGTGTTTTAAGATTTTTTTCTTTATAGTTTGATGTTCTACTTACATAACTATTAATTGGAGACTTTATAAAAATTAAAATGAATTCTATAATTGTTGCCCAAAACAATATATTATTATATTCATTAAATCTTGTTATATTTCAAATCTAAAAATACCACCATTACAACTAATATACCTAAGGCGAATAGTCTAGTAGTCAATACTTCTGATTGGGCCTGAACTTCTGCTAATTTACATCCCAACACTAGACCATAAGTCGGCCTTATAACCCACAGCATAGGATGCCTTTGTTATATTATTTATTATAAACTTATTAATCATTTTCAGTCTATAATTTGAATAAAAGTTAAGGTAGTGAGCTATACATGTCACAATAACCAAAAATTATTGTGTTTATGTTTTTCTGTCAAAGTTCATTCTCACAACAGTGTAAGCTGATACCGTTGACTAATGAAGCAAGGCCTTTTGTAATGACAATTTTTGTCATTAAATCATATGAGTGGTCAGTATTCTAAACTAATGTGTAGTATGTATAGAAAGTGGTTAGATATTAAAAATTGTCATTAATTAGCAAGTGTGTAACTAGCTGTAAAAAATGTGACTATTTATAACACCCATCACTATTGAATACACAAACCTAACCAATAGTGGTGTATATCATTCAATAGCCACAGTTTTAACACCTTACTAACAAAACACCTACTTACTGACTACTGCCTGATTACTAACACTTTTAACTAACTAATACACATTATGTATATAAACTGATGACTTTGATCTATTAGTGTGGTATATTTTCATTTATAACAGTTATTTGTTGCTTAGTCAACGATATCAATGTTACAGTGCAATTAACAGTAAATAGTGATAATGCATTATAGAGTTATTTTTCAATATCATCATTACCTTAATTAGCATCTAAATAATCATGGTAACTAATACATTATTTTATATGGTAAGTTTGGTCTTTCTACCCAATTTTATTCCAAGTTATATATAACTGCTTTTATTGAGATAAATGGTAATCGTATATCCTCTGTCTTTCAAACTGTAAATCAGTTATAGGTATACTTACATCCAAGAACATATGCTGATGTTCCAACAGCCCAATGAGCCCAGTTGAAATATACACGGTTGTCAGTTCCCGGGTGAGGACGGAATATGGCCATTATTGGCTGAAAATACATAAAATACATAATAATATTAATAAATATATAGTATAGATATGAATATTTCATGCATAATTACTCACTGATATCTACTTCTAAGTTATTAATACAACTCTAAATCATAAAGATCAGTATGATTTTTCGAGATAAGACCATTTCAGCTTTTTATTTCTAATTATATAATTAATCATCAAACAAATTTGGATAAGAGCTCTGATACTGTTAATTAAGTACACCGTAAGATCAGACATGTTCATTTCTGTCTGTGCAAAATTTGATGATCCTTTACTATCTATGTAGAACATTTGCAACTAAAAGACAGTAGTATCTTTTGTAGTAATAAATTCAACAATGTACATCAATTTCAATACCAGTAATCTGATCAATAAGACATAGATGACAGCAATATGAGATTTCATTAGAATATGGGTATAACAAAAATCAACTTACGTTCACAATACATAGAAATGTAACAATTACACCCAGATAAGGATGTGCATTTTGAACAGTAACTGGGGACTGAAATAAAACAAGTATAAAATGAGTATTCGCTTTCATATATGCAGATCACTTACGGCTCAGCGAGGAAGATGCTGGCTCGCTAGTCTGGAGGTCTCGGGTTCACGCCCGGTGTTGGCCGAGAAAGTTCCTCTGGATTTAATTGTAACCAATACCCCCTCCCCTGCCCTTTACAAATTAACTGTAATTGCAATCATTACCGTTACAAATTAACTGTAATTGCAATCATTACCCTTACAAATTAAATGTAATTGGAATCATTATCCTTACAAACTAGCTGTAATTGTAATCATTAACACCCCCATCTGCATCCCGACTCGTACACAATAATACACCATAAACACATGTAGAAAATAGAGGGGTTGGGATGGCCTAGGGGCGCCTTCTCAACCTCGTGGGTTTACTCCGGGTACTCCAGTTCCCTCCCACAGAAAAGACCCCTGTGCGTGCGCTACGATAATGAAAAAAAAAAAAAAAGTCAACTTGTCTGCGATATCATCTTCGGTGGAAGCGGACATTAAACACTAAGAACACCAACAACATATAGAAAATAACTGGACTTTATAATAAATAAATATTAACAACGACTTACAGTGGTCCAATCCTGGACATCGGCAAATATAATAATAAAAGCTATACATGTTGCGACAAGAGCTACGATCATACAGGTACGATGAATCTGGAAAATATTTTTCATAATAACCCATAAACTTCAATAAATAGGCTAAAATTCTAGGCGGTACATTAAATAAAATTCAAACAAAAGAAATAAAATATGTACATTGTGTTTAAGTATTTTAAATCTGAATAAGCACTATCAAAACAACTGTCTACCAATTTTGGTTGTACTCATTTGAGTGGGTTAGGAAAATAATGTAATTTGATTTAATTAACCAAATGATGACATGCATTAGGGAATCAAAATACTACCAATTTGGATTGAAATCCTAAGAGTTTAGAAGGGGAAGATGAATTATATGAAAGGAGCCCAGGTTTGATCCATTACTGACAGGCAGGTAAATTACTACCAATCGTATATTTAGGCAATAGGGTATTTCTTTGAAATGGCAATATATCATAGCTGACACTGTAAAATACATGTCCTGTTAATAAATAAAAATAATCACAGTAGCCAATCTAGTTGAACCCTCCACTCCCACCTGTTCCAATCCCCTTTCACTCAGTGAATTCACATCAATGTCTGTACATCAAAGTTAAAAGAGTTACCTGAAACCAAATCTTTTGTCCAAGGAATGAGGAATTAGGCCAAACTTGTTTGAAATAACGAGCTATGATGAGTCCAATACTTGCTGCCGCTACCCATGCAATTGTCATCAAGGAACCTTGAAAATAAAAATCAAGGCTTAAGTGATTCAGATGTTCGACGTCATAACATTTATAACCTTGTCATGATGGTCAAATATACATATCTTAAAGTTGTCTCATTAAAAAAAAACAACTGTAGATAAACCATTCATTCAAATGGAACATGATATGATTTTGATTTAATGCCATTTTCATAAATATAAATATTACACCTCAAATTACTATAGCAAATACTTTAATTTAGATACTCAAGGAACTTCAAAAGTTCATTGAACCATACATGGAACTAAAGTTACAGAAGTTTGTTTGTGATGAATATAATAGGTAAACTTTTAGATAAACTTACCATGAGCTTGTAGTAATGATCGGGTTGTGGGCGTTGCTGAATGTATCTCGTTTTTAGACAGATCAATAACTGCAGAAGACACTAATGGTGTAGTCGTATGTTGGGCGATAGCTTTAAAGAAGAACATACATTCTTAGTCCAGTCTACTTGGAAATGAAAGATGGGATCCTTAGATGTCAGAATCAAGAGAGTATTATACATATTAAAGAGACATTATCACAATCCAAATGAAATTTATTTTAATTGATTTCATATAATATCACATACAAAATAACCTAAGAATTATCTAATAATCAAACATAGGGCGCCAGACAATGAAATGACAGAATGTCAGAATAATAACTATAGCAAAAACATTAATAATCAATTGGGGAACATCTTTACTAGCTATCTCTAATCTTATATTAAGAGTATTGTTTCAGACCTTACAAAAAATTATCAATGTCTACTTCTGATAATTTAATTATTGAATCCAAAAATTGTATTAACATTCGCTAGTCATACAACTGCAATGATCCCTCCAATGCCATGTTTTAGATAAAGTTAGTTAATGTCAAGGTCACTCGAGATCCAAGTGTCTGTTTTAAGCCATATTTATAATTGCATTGTGGGAAATATATCAATAAATACTAAAATGTATATATTTTGTATTTGTCTTTATAGATCCTGAAGGGTTGGATGGCTGAATGGTTAACATGTGTTGTTACGTTTGGCTATATTGAACTTATAGTGATCTGTCAATTGTTAAGTGCTATTAGTCGTATTGTGAGACTTCCCCTAGTTAGTTATTTATTGTCTTATGAGATTTCCCCCTTTACTTTATCATGTGAGTTATCTCCTCTTAGAAAATGAAGTCAGCGTATGACGAATATATGATGTTTGCAACAATTCGGTAATTATAACTGCAAACCTGCCCCAATAACTTTTTGAACAATAATTTAGCATGTGTCATTTGTATACATTATCAGAAATCGTATTTTAATTAGGCACCGCATGGTTTGTAAATTGGACTCGGACCATAGATTGTTGTCATTTACAGCACGTGCAGATTTAAATAGAAAGTAGACTTTTCAAGCAGGAATCTGAATATTTAATGAAGCGACTATGAACGTTTTGAAGAATAGAAAGACTTCTTTTGTCAGTTTAGAACTCAATTACTGAATATTCTTTTATTTTCTTATATTTTTCAGTTAATCGTAAGCGTAAGCACAAGTGTAATTGTAATCGTTATCATCATCATTGAAATTAAACAGATTATACTTGAAGAAACTAGTTTTTTGATGATTTGAAATAACTGAGAATTTATGTTTACGCATTGTCGAATATTGACCTTGAAGGCTTGAGCCCGGAAACCACATTTCATTAACGAATTGACGAACTTAAGATGGAAGGTGAAGGCAACGTCGCCGCTGGCTTGGATGATCATTCTGAAGAACTGAAAAGAACTAGGAAGATGACAGAAAAAGCTAGATTGCAGAAGATAGAACAACTGGCCTTAAAAAGAGATGTGTCATTTACCCGAGTTAGGGCCAAGATGAAATCTATTAGAAGCCGCATGAACGAATACACGTATGAACAAATGGTTGCAGAACACCGTGAGTGGCTCTACCATGTAGAAGATTTTCTAGCAGCCCACGATGACTACAGCAAAGTGTTAACTGACCCTGAGCGCGAAGAATATTTAAAAGATTGGTACATTGTTAGAGATGATGATATCAAAGACTTCAAAAATCGAATTGAAGCCTGGTTTAAGGAACACAAGAAAGAAGATGAAAATATTCAACCTACCGATAGTATTTCACAGAAAGGCTCCAAGAAATCTCAACATGGTTCACGAAGTTCAAGCTCGAATTCATCTCTATCATCGGCCAAAGCGAAACACGAATCAGAGAAAGCTGCATTATTAGAACGGCAGAAACGATTGAAGAAGGCTCAAGCTTTAGAAATGGAAAAGATAAACCTTAAACACAAAGAGGAACAATTGAAAATAGAGACAGAAATAGCAGTCGCCCAAGCAAAATCGAAAGTAGTCCTTGCTATTATCGAACAACACTCTGATTTGAAACAACAGCAGGGACAACCCACAATTTCGCAGCCCCATTTTGAATCAACCACTCCACCTAACCAAGATATGATCAGTCAACCTGCTATTGAACAAGAAATGGAGCATATCAACAATATAAATGTATCAACTTTGAATAATGTCCCTACACAGGCTGAACCATTGACTTCTACAGTAATTAAGAAATTGCAAAGGCCTGTGATAGAAATAAAGAAATTCAGTGGTGATCCTATAGAATTTAAGAAATTCCTTCGGCAATTTGAAACGAAAATAGTAGCCTACACCACTACAGATGATGAAAGAATGGGATATTTGAAGCAGTATACCACAGGTCAACCTAATAGAATAGTGTCAGGATTCAGCTACCTTGATGCTTGTGTAGGATATTCTGCTGCAATGAAGGCTCTTCGTGAAAGATATGGACATCCAGACATTATGTCAAGTGCCTTTTTGAAGAAAGCCTTAGGCTGGCCACCAATGAAGAATGATGACCCCACATCTTTAGATGAGTATGGTATCTTTCTAGCAGAGTGTGAAAATGCCATTTCAACCATTGAGACTCTGAAATCATTAGAACACCCAGACACCATGAAACGCATGGTACAAAAATTGCCATATGGCTTACACGACAAATGGAGAAATATATACTATAACACTGTTCAGAAAGAAGAAACTGTAAAATTTAGTTTATTGGTGGACTTTGTCAAGAAAGAAGCCAGAAAGATAGTTGATCCAACATATGGAAAATTAGCGATGATGGAATTAGCTAAGAAACCACAGTTAAACAATTTGAAATTGAGCAGTCGTCCTAAAGGCAATTTTGTGAGTAATTTGAAGGATAATGGTCAACGATATAGTAGTCAAGAGAAGAACGATTCCGAGAAATCTAAATTCTGCTATTATTGTAAGGAGGCACACACTACATTGCTGAGTGTACTAAACTGAGTCAGCTAAAATATGAAGACAAGATAGGATATTTAAAATCTAAAGGAATCTGCTATAGTTGCCTAGAAAAAGGTCATATGAAAATTCGCTGTGGTAAAAGACTGACTTGTTCTACATGTGGTGGTATACATCCTACAGTTTTACATGATGAAAATAGAAGAAAGGAAAAAAGAAGTATAGAGAAAAAGGAAGAATGCACAATGACTGAACAAACCATACCTCTGAAGGCGAATGCTAACACGCTGGTAAAATCCCCCAGGGGAGCCGGTGATTATCAATATGATCATTGTACCATAGCAATAACTGCAGTGAGAGTGAAACGTAGAAACAGTTTTCACTCTATCACTACATACGCATTCTTTGACCCTGGCAGCAACGTTTGTTTTATCAGTACAAGCTTGATGCAACAAATTGGAATTCAAGGGAGACAAATCAAAATTAAATTAGAAACCATGGGAGAAAGTGTATGTTTGGACTCAGCTATTGTGAAGCATTTGGAAATTTTCAATTATGATTTATCTGATGGTATTATTGTTCCAGTTTGCTATGCCAAAGAAACAATGCCTGTAGATTCAAGGGATATTCCAAGAGCTAAAGATATAAAACAATGGTGTCATTTGAATAGTTTACCAATTCCTGATCCAGACAGTTCCATCGGTCTTATAATAGGAAACAACATGCCTGAAGCATACACACCCCTTGAAACAGTTACTGGTCCGCGAGGTAGTCCTTACGCATCAAAAACAGCACTTGGTTGGATACTATGGAATGTAATTAGAACAAATCCTGAACCATCTTTAGAATTCAAAGTTAATCATGCTGAAGTTGTAACAGAACATGAACTCTTGAATGAACTTGACAGAATGGTAAGACAATCGACATCCTTTGACTTCCCCGAGAAGACCATAGATGACAAGGATGAACATTCTGTGATGGACAAATTATTCTTTGAGAAGGTAGATAATTCTGCAAAAATGGTAAATGGTAGATATGAAATTGGTTTACCATTCAAGAATGACAAAATAGTACTCCCAAACAACAGGAAACAGATATTAGATATACATGTACTGAGAAGTTTGAAGTCAAGATTAATCAGAAATGATGAACTTTATCAAGACTACAATGAATTTATGAAGAATTTGATTTCTAAGAGGTACGCTGAAGAAATTCCCAGTAACGAACAAGAAGTTGAAAATAGTGGCCAGACATGGTATCTTGCCCATCATGGAACCTACCATAAACAGAAGCATAAATTACGAGTAGTATTTAACTGCTCTCTGAAGTTTAATGGTATATCACTGAACGACACTCTACTCTCAGGTCCTGACCTCGCCAACAATTTAATTGGTTTTTTGATAATATTTAGACTTGGAAAGGTTGCAATAATGAGTGATATTGAAGCTATGTATCATCAAGTTAAGGTTCCCAGTAAAGACAGAAATAGCTTACGGTTCTTCTGGTGGAAAGATGGACAACTTGACACAGAACCAACTGAATACAGAATGACGTCACATCTATTTGGTGCTGTATCATCACCCAGCATAGCAAACTTTGCCTTAAAGCGAACTGCTTCAGATTTCAAAGATTTCTTCGAAGAAGGAGTAAGAGAAACTATATTATTCAACTTTTATGTAGATGATTGTCTTCGATCCCTTGACGATAAAGAAGCAGCAAAAGAAATGATCCAGAAATTGACTGAGATTTGTGCCTTGGCTGGATTTAGACTACACAAATGGATCTCCAATGACACAGAAGTTTTGAATACAGTACCAGAATCGAGCAGAGCTATCTGTAAACAACCATCATTAGGAGAAGATAATTCAATTGTCGAACGAGCTTTAGGTGTTAACTGGGACGTAACGTCAGATTGCTTGACATTTAAGATTAACATTAGGGATCAGCCGACAACCAGAAGAGGATTGCTCTCTATCATTGCATCAGTTTATGATCCTCTTGGACTTATTGCACCTGCTATGTTGCCACCTAAACTCCTCCTTCAAGATCTCTGTCAAAAAGGTTTATCTTGGGATGAGAACATAAATGAAGAGCAGAATAGATTATGGACAAAATGGCTGAACGAATTACCAACTTTAGAAACTGTGCAACTACCTAGATGTTTGAAAACGCGAGATTTTGGAAAACAAGTATCGGTACAACTGCATAATTTTTCTGACGCAAGTCAACGCGGATATGGTAGTGCTAGTTATTTACGACTAGAAGATGATCTAGGACACATAGTCTGTACACTGGTACTCGGAAAATCACGAGTGAGTCCATCGAAAAAAGTCACAATACCCAGATTAGAGCTGACTGCGGCAACTACGTCTGTGAAGCTTAGCAAGAAGATTTCAGATGAATTAAGAATCAACATTGATAAGATATTCTTCTGGACAGACAGCACAGCTGTACTGAGCTACATAGCAAACGAAGCCAGCAGGTACCAGACTTTCGTGGCTAACCGAGTCTCATTTATCAGAGAATCAACAGAACTTGATCAATGGAGATATGTCAACACACAGCAAAACCCAGCAGATGACGCCTCTAGAGGACTCACTGTGGCAAATTTAGTTAAACGAAATCGTTGGTTTTATGGACCAGAATACTTATATAAACCAGAATCAGAATGGCCAAAAAATGAAGCTAATATGGAAATTTCAGAATCAGATGTCGAATTGAAGAAGATTAAAGTATCTTGTGCTGCTGTAATGGAATTTGAAGATCCAATCGAGAAACTTCTGAATTATTATTCTACATTTAACCGTCTGAAGAAAGCTGTGGCTTATCTACTATGGATCAAACGAGAACTTAGAAAAGGGATCAAATGTAGAAAATCGAATGCAAAACAATCAATAAAAACTCATTGTATATTGACAGCAAATGATTACATTGAAGCTGAAGAATGCTTAATTAAACATGAACAACAGAAATACCTAGGCGATTTATCATCAAAGAAAATGAAAGAGAAATCCATTCGGAAATTAGATCCTTATGAATTGGATGGAATTACAAGAGTAGGGGACGTTTGGAGAGATCAGCTCTAAGTCTAGATTCCAAACATCAAATCATCTTGCCTAAACAATCCAGATTATCTGAACTTTTAGTAGTCCACACACATAACTTAGTTGGGCACTTAGGAAAGAATTGCATCCTGTCTGAGTTACGAAGGAGATGCTGGATCATTGGAGCCTCTGCAATAATTAAAAGAATCGTGTCAAAGAGCGTGATATGCAGAAAATATTCTGTACGTACCAATGAACAAAAGATGGCGAACCTACCTGCAACAAGAATAACTCCTGGAGGATTACCCTTTGAATATACTGGAATGGACTTTTTCGGCCCCTTCGAAGTGAAACAACGTCGAAGTCAAGTTAAAAGATATGGAGTTATATTCACCTGTTTTAACAGCCGGGCAGTTCACCTAGAAATCGCCCATACAATGGACACAGATTCATGCATTAATGCTATCCGACGTTTCATATTTAGACGAGGAAGCCCCAAAATCATCAGATCAGACAATGGAACTAACCTAGTAGGAGCGGAGCGGGAGCTCAGAGAGGCCATTGAAAACTGGAATCATCAACAGATTAATGACGAGCTTTGTCAACAGCATATTAAATGGGAATTTAACACCCCTGCTTCATCCCATCATGGAGGAGTTTGGGAGAGGATCATTAGGACTGTCAGGAAAGTTCTTTACTCGTTTCAAAAGGTTCAAATGGTTAGATTGGATGATGAATCATTAAATACACTTATGTGTGAAGTAGAATCAGTAATCAATAGAAGACCCATCACTAAGTTATCAGATTTGCCAGATGACGTAGATACTTTAACACCTAATCATTTACTTTTAGGAGGAGCACAGAATGAATTTATTCCTGTCAAAACTGAACCCAATAGTCTTTATGTACGACACCGCTGGAAACAAATACAGTACTTAACAGATTTATTCTGGAAGAGATGGACAGCCGAGTATCTTCCAGTATTACAAGAGCGGAAAAAATGGTTACAGCCCAAAAGGAATGTTGCTATTGGAGATATTGTAATGGTCTACGACAATAATTTAAGAAACTCCTGGACTTTAGCTCGAGTGATTGATGTCAAACAAGATAAAACTGGATTAGTGAGAACAGTTACAGTTAAAACCAAAACCAGCACTCTAGATCGTCCAGTTACTAAATTATGTACATTATTGGAATGTGATTCTTAAAATTTTGGAACACTTAGAATGTGATATATTATAGGAGGGACTTTAGATCAGGGATACCCATTGATTTATATGTCATATATTGTATTATCGAATAGGAAATTCGAGAAGAAAATTGTTAAGTTTAGTGTAATTGCATTCAAACATGTGCTGCAATTAGGGAGCCGGAATGTTACGTTTGGCTATATTGAACTTATAGTTATCTGTCAATTGTTAAGTGCTATTAGTCGTATTGTGAGACTTCCCCTAGTTAGTTATTTATTGTCTTATGAGATTTCCCCCTTTACTTTATCATGTGAGTTATCTCCTCTTAGAAAATGAAGTCAGCGTATGACGAATATATGATGTTTGCAACTTTTCAAGATTAATTCGAGAAAATAGGACGTGGTCGTCAACAATTCGGTAATTATAACTGCAAACCTGCCCCAATAACTTTTTGAACAATAATTTAGCATGTGTCATTTGTATACATTATCAGAAATCGTATTTTAATTAGGCACCGCATGGTTTGTAAATTGGACTCGGACCATAGATTGTTGTCATTTACAGCACGTGCAGATTTAAATAGAAAGTAGACTTTTCAAACAGGAATCTGAATATTTAATGAAGCGACTATGAACGTTTTGAAGAATAGAAAGACTTCTTTTGTCAGTTTAGAACTCAATTACTGAATATTCTTTTATTTTCTTATATTTTTCAGTTAATCGTAAGCGTAAGCACACGTGTAATTGTAATCGTTATCATCATCATTGAAATTAAACAGATTATACTTGAAGAAACTAGTTTTTTGATGATTTGAAATAACTGAGAATTTATGTTTACGCATTGTCAAATATTGACCTTGAAGGCTTGAGCCCGGAAACCACATGTGTGCTGTATCATAAAGCCTGTCATTGAGTCAACTGGCATGGTTTCGATTCCCCGGTTGTACGTGACGAAGAGTAGGGTCGCCTGTCCAACCTCATGGGTATTCTCCGGGTCCTCCAGTTTCCTCCCACTACTGAAGACCCCTACGCGCAAGTGAATTATTGAAATAAAATTGAACCCTATGTTATTCCCAAAATGACCTGGTTTGTGTCGAGTGGACGTTAAATCCTATTTCTCTGGCTCTCTCTACCATTAAAGTCATCTAATTGTAATCGTAAATTAATGTGCAAATAGAAATCTTAAAAATCTTTAACCGTCTATTGTTCAGAACTTGTAGCAATAAGCCAATGGTAATTTGAGGGAAGAGTTAAATAATAATTTCTGAAAATTCTGTGAAAATTTAAGGGGAACAGTACGAATTCTGGGTGAGTACAACGTTATCAATGAGAATATATCAGGGGTAATAAATCTAACAATATTTTTACTGTTGCAGTGCGAGTATGAGTTCGGAAATGTACATTATCAACTATAATATTATGTTAGGGGCAATAACTCTGGAATTAAGATAATTATTATTGGATCTAAAAGATCTGAAAAAAAGTGCCTAGGTAAGGATATCAAGAAAATCTCTAAAAAAAATTGAGAGTCATATATCCTTTTGTATTAAATTCAATTACATGTTTTAAAGAAGCTCAACCAATAATGATATGTTGCTATCTTACAGTGAAAATATAGGATAGCAGTACTAATATTTAAGAAAATCAGAACACAACATCATGTACTCTATGGTTTCGAGTGCTATTTGTAATGAACAAAGAAAAACATATCCAACATTACATTGCAGAAAGGAGAATTGACAAAGCAGGTGGAAACTCCTTCCATTCAATTTGAACTGTTCACATGTTTCACCCAACATAATTGATTAGAAATTAAAATAAAATTCAATGTAAATCACTTCATATATATTCATATTAGATTAATATGTGCTTTTAGACCCATTTTAAAGTTCCAAAGACCAGAGTTATACACCCTTTAAGGAGAAAACTAACCTTTAGCAGGAGTTGCCACACCAGAAGCAAAAAACATATAATAGGGTGTTGACAAAGCAAAAACATTAGCATCATTTTCACCATCTTTTTGTCTTGTAAAACTGCATTCCAAAACGTTATTTTCCAATTTACCACTTATAGAGGTAATTGCTGCTTTTGGCTGTATGATAAATGTACAAATAGAAATTAAATTGAAAAGATTTCTAGTTTTCTATAGAAATAATAAATTGTACGAAAACAAAGTCGGTTAAATTATAAACCTCAGAAACCCTTATTGGGCCCGTTTTTCCAAAGATGCCTACATTGACCAACTGAAGGATGCAAGGCAAGTATTTCCAGTCTTAAAATGTGGTGCTTAGTTATCGAGAGCAATAACTTTGCAAGTAATTATAGGAAATCATTGAAAATCAATAGGCCTATAAACACTGTGCATAAATTTTACGCCACTTTTTTATATCTTTAACTGGTGGAGCATCCATGTGATATTTTGAAGTGATCAAGGGCCGTAACTCTAAAAGTAATTATTGTCATTGTCTACGCTAGGTAAGCCGTGTGTATAAATTTAAAGTCAATAAGATGATAAGTTTAGCCTCAAGATAATCCACAAGGGATAACCAACATATAATCACATTTAGATGTAGGTCCGTAAAAGTGACAGAGTCAGCCATAAAAAAGGCCAGGAATATAAAGTCAGACTTTCGTTGTATCACCCCAAATTTTTGTAACAATGAAATAATTCTACTAAAATTTATGACTATCGATATTAAATATGATATCCACATCCCCTATAAATAAAACCTGCAGATGATATAGGCCCACTTTCCTAAGTTACAACTACCGGGTATAAAAAATAACTTACATTGGTGTTCCTTGAATTAGATCTTCCTATATTAAACGAGTTAAATACATCAACAGAACTGTCAGCAGCAGCATAAACACACTCAGTAACACTGTCAGTACCCTGAAATATACAGTATTAGATATCTAAAATACCAGCAACAAATTCATATGCAGTAAGTATATTTAAGAAACATAGCTTGCCAAACAATGAAACATATGCCCAACTGCAGTCTCCTCTTACCATACACACTACATTTCATGATTTTTTCCAATTTTAAAAATCTAACCCAGTTTTAAATTTCTGAAAGTCAAAAAGGAAAGGTTAACTACAGAATTTCTAATCAAAGTATTTGACACTCATCCCCAACCATTCTCTCCACCCAGAATTTCTGTTTTGCTCTCACATTGAATTATAAATGGTTGAAGAATGTAAAGTTTGGGGAAGGGGGAAAGGGGGAGGGGGAGTCAATACTATGAAATTCTTCTTACCATTTTGCTATCAGCAGAGAATCCAATAGCAATATACTGTGATGTTGTTGCAGTTGTTAAAGCCTTCAATGTGAAATTAGCATTAGGATTGTTTCCATTAAAATTCCAGGATACTTCAAAAGAACAGCCATCAGCACCGCAGTCTGAATAACATCCTCGTGTAATTCCACATTCCGAGTTTTGAACAAATTTATTACCCTTTAAAATATATAGATATGGTAAAAATGATAAATATATATATCTGATATTCAATACCTGGGGCCTGTTTCACAAAATTTTAACTAAGATAAAATCCAAATTTTAGTAATTTGATTGGATAATATTAGGTTGATTTTAGTGCTTAGCCAATCAAAATTGAAGAATCTACTAAAATTTGGATTTTATCTTTAGTTAAGATTTCGAGAAACAGTGCCCTGGTTTTATACAACAAGTAGAAGTTGGGAGTACAGCTCTCTCTATTAGAATGTCCCAGGTTCAAATATAAAGGAAGTACCTGAGAAGTGCTTTTTACTATCCTCAAAGTTTTGGGGTATAGGTTCAACAAGGCAAGAATATTCATTCAATTTGAATAGTACAATAGTACAATGGTTGACAATCGTCTCGGCAACTTGGCTGTAATAAGTTTCCACAGCGAGCGGGCAATGAAGTTCAAACAGGACAATGTAGTCGATCGCTCCGCTAAAATAAATTTAACAATTGTCTTTGTTTGAGTTCGAGGATGATTTGATGATAAGATATGTTGTTGGATATCAATCTTTACTCATAATAATACAATAGTTTTGCATCAAAATCATTATTCCTAGGTGTTCTGATAGCAGCCTGCACTTTCTTACTGCACTATTATAGTTAACTGTATATGTTACAAGTCCCTGTAGGTTACAAGTCCCTTCGTTCAATATCAGTTCTCGTGATACGAGACATCCAGGTTATGTGTATTGTAATGATGGTATGTCAATTAAAGTTATCAACAGTTGTCACTGTCTGTGTTTGTTCCTGTTCCCTACTAAACTGTCGCTGAATTATTGCATTTTTGCCCACTATGGTTTCAATGTTTTTGTGTAAAAAAATAGCTCTATTTATCTTAACGATCAGTTCATTTTTCAAAATTTTCTTGGGGAGGCCTTGTCAAGGGGGAACTTTATTATTGAATTATTACATTTCTGTTCACAGTGTTTTTTTAAAATTTCAGTCGGGACTCCTGCATTCGGCACTTGCGAGGGAGCACCTTTTTATTGAATTGTTGCAATTCTGCCCTACAAAAGTTTTTAAAGTTCTCAGTGTTTTGCAAAGCAAAAGAAAAAAACTGCTTAATTTTTGAAGATTAGTGCCTGAAAAACTGCCAGACTGCGGTCTATTTTTAAAAATTTTCGTGGGGCTTCGATTATTGATAGGGAGCTTCGTGCCAGCTTTGCCCTTCTATCTACCGTCAGCTAACGCGGCCACTGTTTATACTATACACATAACCTACGAAATATAATTATTATAGATTAGTCTCAAATACAGAAATAAAAGATGCATTATGTAAGATTTAGATAAAGAGCTGGATGTTCTTGTTATCATACCCTGAGTAAAGTTATGATTGCTTGAAGTTATAGCATAGATCATTTATTATCGTAGTTTGGTTGTCAATTCTATAGCTAAATTCTTAAATTTCGCAGATTTTTAAATCCATTTAAATCTCAGCCATCCAATAGTCTATAGAGTTGATTATAGGCATGTCATGTTAATAAATGTCTACTAAATAATAATTCATATAATATTTGAAGCCAAAATGAAGACCTGCAATAGGCAGATTTAGCTCTTACATAAAGCATTCTTAAGCCTCGTTTAACAAAATTTATTAATAAATAGATATTATTTATTTATTTATTATCTAATAGATATTAGTAATGTATTTATAGAAGTTATAATTCAATGGTAAACATTAAGTAAAAGATACATACTGTTGGTACAACTGGACAGTTACTATTGTCTAGGACGGGACTCTCAGTAGAATCAGTGGCTAAATCCAATGCCGGCTGGCCAGTTTCCTCAACAACTTTAGATGTTACTGCTTGCCAGAATTTAGATTTAACTTCTACAAAGGTGACCCTAAAAAATAAGTTGAATAATGTCTCAAAGAAACTTCATTCACAATACTCAATTTTGGCAGCAATTTATCAATTATCAAACTAAATCTTTTAGTGGAAAGCAAACCCTTGAGGGATGTTTTACAGGACATTTACTTAGTTTAAGACATAAAAGTTTCTATTGTGTCATTATTTAAGTTCATCTGAGTATAGAAAAAACAATATAAAGAATAAGCTGACTTGCAGGATTTTGACCAAATTGGATAAGGATCCTTTAAGTGTTCAAGAAATCTGGTCTCTATTGTACATTGACTACATTCTCTGGCTGAAAAACAAAAGGGTTCATCCTCTCACAGTCCTACTGCTTCACTCCACATTTGAAAACAAAACAATTAAGAACTGTAGCCTCAATTGCTTTCACAAGGTTTCAGAACAGGGAGCATAATTCCAGAAAGAAGAGAAATGGTCAGATCCATTAAAAACAATAGCCTCTCTTGCATTCACAAGTCAATTGTTGACAGATGGACTGACAGACAGCCACGACTGGCCAGACTGGTGGGTGTTTTATAACAAGTATATTTCCTTTGACCGTAAAAAGATGATAAATGTACATGACACAGACCAACCTAGGTGGCAGTAATGTACGACCACATTTCAGTGTGGACATACAACAAGCGGTTGCCGATCAAGATACACACACAGATTTGCAAGAGATGGACAGAGAACGAGCTAAAAAAAATGTGATTTTTTTGTACAATCAAGGGCCAATATTCATGGAAGTTATGGTCTGATATCCACAAATATTGAAAGATCTTTTGAAAACAAACAATTTTTTCAATTTCATCAAAACCGGATAGAAATTGGTAATTCATACTTGTACAAGGAGCAGTCACTTTGTCAGGCAGTTTCAATCCGATTTTCACCAAAATCCAGCTCAACCATCGTTAGGGTATAACGGTAAACAGTGATATATTTAAACGTTTTTTTTAAATCGGATAAAAATTGTAACCAAAATCTAGCTCAACCATCATTAGGGTGTAACAGTGATATATTTAAACATCAGATAAAAATTGTGACCTCTCGAGGGACCACAAGCTAAAAATGTGATTTTTCATACAATTAGGGGCCATAATCCAGGAAGTTATGGTCCCATATGCGTGATTATCGACAAGAACCAAGATCTTTGTGATATAAACATAAATTTAAAGTTTCATCAAAATTAGATCAAAATAGTGACCTCTAGAGGGTCCACACCCTTGATATATCATATGCCATTTTGTCGGGCAGTTTCAGTCAGATTTTCATGAACGTCGAAATCAACTATCATTAGGGTGTAACTGTGATATATTTAAACGGTTTTAAAAATTGAATACAAATTGTGACTTCTAGAGGATCCACAAGCTAAAAATGCAATTTTTTGTACAATCAGGGGCCTTAATCCCGGAAGTTACGTTCTAAAATGCATGACTGTTGAAAGGAACCGAGATTTAGAGAGTCAACAACCTTGATATACCATACTTTAACACTATTTGTGTACGAGGTGCGGCCATTTTGTCTGTCAGTTTCGGTCCGAACTCAACCATCATCATGTAACTGTGATATATTTGAAAGTTTTTTTTAAATTGGATAAAAATTGTGACATCTAGAGGGTTTATTAGATCAAAATGTGATTCTGCGTACAATCAGGGGCCATAATCCAGGAAGTTACGGCCCGATATGCGCAAATATCGAACGGACCTGTGATTTTGGGTTATAAACATACATTTCAAGTTTCATCAAAATCAGATAAAAATTGTGACCTCTAGAGTTTCCACAAGCAAAAAACGTGACTTTTTGTACAACCAGGCGCCATAATCCATGAATTTACGGTCTGATACATGCCAATTTCAAAAGGAACTGAGATCTTTGGGAGATAAACCTATATGTCAAGTTTCATCAAAATTGGATAAAAATTGTGACCTGTAGAGTGTCCACATGAAAATGTGGGTATATAAATAGAATATATTCACCAATGCGGTTATTGCATTAAATACCAGTATGTTAAAAAATACCCTTAATATGTGAGATATGACTTACTTGAAAACAATATGTCCAGTTCCAGGTGTAGAAGGTGCATTCCATGTTAAATCTAATGAAGTTTTTTCTGCAGCATTGGCGTGGGTTAACTATAAAATATTATCATTAAATAAACTTCTACTTAAAACTCATGGTTGCATCATATTTGAATTGTTTGTTTGTTTGTGATTTCTGCATATTATGTCTTGTCCATATATTTTTTTTTGTGCAAATATGTGTGGTGCAGTCCCCCTGCACTTACTAAAAAGGTCTGTCATTGAGTCAACTGGCGTGGTTTCGATTCCCCGGTTGTATGTGACAAGGAGTAGGGTCACCTGTCCAACCTCGTGGGTTTTCTCCTGGTCCTCCAGTTTCCTCCCACTGCTACAGACCCCTACGGGTAAGTGAATTATTGACATGAAATTTAACTAAATGTGAGTCTCGAAACCCCATTTCTCCTGCTCTCTTTATCTGTTGGAATAACTCTGACAGGGTATAAGGAATAGAGTATATCAAGTTCAAAAATAATCCATTCAGAATTGTAGCCTTCAGGTGCTAAACACAAAATTTAGGCGTGGCTCTGCCCCTGTTAGTTGGGACATGCTCCAAAATCAATACTTGCCACCCTTAAGCTATAAAGAATACATATGATAAGTTCCAAGCTGATCTATTCAGAATTGCAGCCTGTATACAATAGACACAAAAATTGTTGCCATCCTTAAGCTATAAGGAATACATCTGCCAAGTTCCAAGACGCTCCATTAAGAATTATGGCCTGTGGGCAACACACAGACACACAAAGAAAAATAGGAGTGGCTCTGCCCCTGTGGGACGGGCATTCACCATTCACAATAGGAATCATCCTTAGGGTAGAAGGAATAAGTATGTAAAGTTTCAAGACGATTAGTTAAAGGGACTTTCCCTTATTTGAACAGAGTCTCAAAAATAAAAGTCTGAGTATGTATGAAATTTAAGCGCCAAAATATAGAGGAATGGTGTATTGACCTTATCTCAAAATTTCAGCTCAAAATTTTGAGTCGTTTGGACATGACCGTCAAGAATGCTTATCCGGACACACGTAACCCTTTTAAGATTTCGGGTAAATTCTTTCGTTGGGAGACCTGATAATCGATTCTGTTCATTGAGAGGTCTATACAGTGAATGACCCAAATAGTGTGCTTGATAACGAAAGGTAAATTTCACTTTCACATTATTTGTATACAAAAAATGTCTGGTTTTATCTTGACACCGCATAATTTAGCTTGGGACACGGGTCTCCATTTCCAGATGAAGACTGACGGGTTTCAGTTATTTGAAAACTTATCACAAATATTGAGTTAGTTGCTCGGCCCTTAGGTAGAGGATTTTAAGGGATTTTAAAACAAAATTAAACAGTTTTATTCTCCAAAAAATTATCGGGATTAGCCCTTTAAGAATTGCTGCCTGTAGGTGATACACAGACACACACACACAAAGAATAATTGCAGTTATTTTTTAATTTTATGCCTAATGCCTATAAAGAGGTGGTAGAATAGGAGTGACTGGTCGAAAACTTGGATCTGTTGCCAAGACACGCAAGGTTTTTTCTAACAATCTCATTTAAGAATTGGCTGAGCAAGACAAGACGTTAGCAGTTATGAAGTCTGTACGCCAACGTCACCAGCTAATTTCAATAAGATGTTAGCTATGGTCAGCAGATCGATAACGATAAAATTATAAGATTTGATTCTTTCTCAGAATTCCACGTTTCCATGACAGTCGCCATTTGGTCTTCAAAAAATCATGCGACTTTATCAATATCAGCGATTGGCTAATGATTTCTGCAATCGAGCGATGTCTTTGGCGAACCGGAGAGACTAGGCTAACATAAACGTAGTGAATGAAAATTCGACTGAATATATCAAACACGTTCATACAGGCAAATGCAAATTCAACATCGCAACCCTTGACACACTGGGCAAAATTTGGGGCCGACTGTTTCAGCCAATGAATTTGTGTGTCTCCCGCTTTAGGTTATCAAATACTTCTTTGATAGGCATTTATAATTAGTAATTTAACATATTAATACAAGGTACAATTTAATCAATACACCATTGCTGGATTTATAAATATGCAACATTTCAAAAAGGATACTCTTTTCTTGTTCTGCTCCGACTATTATATCAAATTCCAACTGCCAAGGGATATTTTACATCCAAATGACTAGACAGCTGTCCTTGTCAGGCCCTCCGTCCTTCACCACGGACAAGGGGAAACCACGTCGGAAAATCCTGATGAACTTACTTGGCCAATGCAGGGATCGAACACCCGACCTCCAGGCTAGCGAGCCAGCATATTACCCACTCAGCCACGGTGGCTCCCTTCCTGATATAGATGAGAGTATCTTTGTTGAAATGTTTCTTAGTAATAAATATAGTAATTGTGTGTCCATAAATTTGTACCTTAGGTTATCAATATATAAATAATTTCTCTATTAGAGAATGTCTTTAATTTCCTCTTTAAAGCGCTCCATGCTTGCTGATAAACTTAATCTGATCAAATCTAAATTATATGCATCAACAAAGCAATACCTACGAAATTTGGTTGAAATTCATCAATCTTTATTTTAAAATGTCTAGAATTTCCCCTCTCAGACTTTGCTGCGCTAATCCCCTATGACGCTGAAAAGATTTATTTGAACAAATCTGAATAATCACCACCCAAGCAACATACATGTATGTACCATATTTGGTTGAAATCCTTTATGTCAATAATATGTGATAATGTTTAAATTTTGTCCTTTAAGGTGCCCATTATGCTTCTTGAATATAAGGTATACTTACTGCGTCACTATTAGTACCGGTACAGAGTTGTTTGGTATTAGTTTGAGTATCAAATGTTCCTACGACTTCAGTTCTAACAGTCGAATTATCTGCTCGTCTGGCTTGTATTAAAAATCCCTTAAATTTATAACCACATCTTGCTTGAAGAGTAACTGAAAATAAGAACAAATATTCGATAGACCTATATTTCAATCAGATAAAAATTGTGACCTGTAGGGTGTTCACAAACAAATTGTGGACGGACGGACAGGGGCGACAGCATAATACGTCCACATGAAAATGTGGGCGCATAAAAATGCTATTTTCTTACAATCAGGGGCCATAATCCAGGAAGTTACAGTCTGACCTGCGCGATTCTAGAAAGGAATTGATATCTGTGGGATATAAACATTTATTTTAAGTTTCATCAAAAGCAGATGAAAATTGTGACCTCTAGAGGGCACTCCACCTTGGCATTAAAGCTCAACCATCATTATGGTGTAACGGTGAGATGTTTAGACATTTTTTTTAATTAGATAAAAATTGTGACCTCTAGAGAGGCCAAAATCCATATAGTTATGGTCAGCTATGCGTGAATATCGACAGGAACAAAGATCTTTGAAATATAAACATATATTTTAACTTTCATCAAAATCTGAAAGAAATTGTGACCTCTAGCTAAAAACGGGGCCATAATCCATGAAGTTATGGTTCGATACATTCCAATATCGAAAGGAGCGAAGTCTTTGGGAAATAAACCTAAATCTCAAGATTCGTTAAAATCGGATACAAATTGTGACCTGTAGACTGTCCACTTACAAATTCTTGTTTATACCAGTAATCTAGTAAACATTTCGAATAGTGGATGCTAGAACACCTAGAAATGAAATGAAATGGGGTTTGTGGTTTAATGTCCTACTGTCCTGCTCCGAACTGGGCTAAAACACATAGAAGTAGCTACATGTACTTGTACATGTATATTCTTGTCTGAATATTGCATAAAGTGCACTTCACCTGTTATTTTACCTGATGGTGTGTAGGCTGTCTTAGTCAATAATCTACATATAGGGCTATTCAATAATTTACATTTAAAGCCAAGCAATAATTTACTTGTTTTTTTTTTCTGATGGTGCGTTGGCTGTCTTAGATGGTTTTACAGTTAAAGCTATACAATAATTTGCCTGTTAATTTTCCTGACTGTACATGTATGTAGGTTGTTTTAGATGGTTTTACAGTTAGAGCTATTCAATAATTTACCTGTGTATCTGATTGTGCTAAGGTTGTTTTGGATGGTAATAAAGTTAGAGCTATTCAATAATTTACCTGTTATTTTATCTGATGCTGTGTAGTTTGTTTTAGATGGTATTACAGCAAATGGTGAAATAGATGTCTGTGTATCCAAATTATCATGAGCAGGCTTCAGTTCTGAACAAGCTCCAGGACCTGCTCCTGAACTGTAGGCATTTATAGCAGGAAGTGATACCAAACAAAGTATAAGATTTAGCAAGCGATTCATTCTTGAGTTCATTGATATATTTTCTCTAGTTCCTTGTAAAAATGTTATCTGAAAAACAAATTGTTAAAGATAGATATTGTTTTGACAATATGAACTACATGTATGTTACTGTTGAATAATCTGCATGTACTATGAACAGCACGGCATATACATATATCTATCATTGAGAAAATCAGTTTCATTGTCATTAATTCAAAAGCTAATAAATATAGGTGATTTAATGATTCAATAAAATATATGAAACATAATGTTGTCAGGCAATGAATATAAAAATGTACACCCGGCAGCAGCACTTTGAAGTTTTCAGGGGTAATAACTGTGTGTAAAATTGATTTGAGTTATCGACTGGGTTCCTCTTTATAATTAGAGAAACAATCCCAGTAAGTTTAAACATTATTAATTTTTTTTTTTTTAAATTACCGGTTAAGTGTTTACAACGTTTTGGTCAGACAGGGGCAGTAACTCTGTAACAATAGTTGCGTGACAAAATTTTGATAGTGTTGCTTTCTAAGGACAAGCCCTGTCTTCATTAGCCCAGTCAGAGCATAACAGTAGGACGTTAAACCCCATTTCTAAGGACAAGCCAAAAAATCCCAGTAAGTTCCCAAAGAAATCTCAAAAACTGTCTTTACAATGTTTATTATTATTATGATACAGAGACCAATAGAGAGGAGTTAAGAGAAAATGTGGGCATATAAAAACTGAAATCCCTGGAATTTTCCCCACTTTTCCTCCACACAAGGCAGCTAGCACATACTATATTTGATGCAAATTGCTTGTTTTGAATTGACACATTAGAAAAGAATTGGGACACATGTAGCTTTCTTGTATTGACTAGGATCACTATCAGGGCCGCAATAACCTTGTGGGGCCTGAGATAAGTCAATGGGGGAGGGGTGCTTAATTAAGAAAAAATATTAGCATAGAGTCCAGACAACTTTGAAAAATAGATCTGGTGCATTCTCAGGTATATTAAGTTAAATAAAACATAAATAGTGAACATTATTTTGTATTAGAACAAGAGTTTTAAACTTCAATCAAGGTACGAATCCAAACCAATCCTTTCTAAAGACAGACAGTCACTAATAAAAGGCTATATGAGAAACCTTTAGTCAAAACTCAATCAAGTTACCAACCCCAGTCATTCGTATCTATTCAGAAACTTTCATTTGTCGCGATTTAAGGATGACTCACATTTTCAATCTAAATTAGAATCTCTCGGTCATTCAATCCAACTTTTGGTCTTGTTCTAAACCCAAAATGTGGGTGTTGGCGAGGGGGGGGGGCCTAAAATGTGGGGGTTTCGGCACTCCCAGGACATTTGTCAATTTTGCCCTTCCTAGATCTGGTATTGATCACTACGATGACCCGGAATATAGTTATGTCTTCTGTGAATCAGATTTTGTTTTTGGGCTCCCCTGATATATATTTGCCTTTGGAGTTAATGTGTCAATCACAAGGGAAAATATTGCATCCTTATCTGGAAAGTAAAATGAATTGCGCTTTTCCTTCAAATCTGTTGGTTTGTTTTTTTGTGGTAAATGATAGAGGCACGACAATAGTATAAAACATAATTTGTTTATTAAAGTTATAACAAAACATTATCATTGGCAGTGGATCACATTTCCAACAGATTCATTTTAAAAATAATAAATAAATAATCAATAAAACAAAAAACATATACATGTACATAGATCTATCTTCACATTACACAAACATTAACCATATACAATTTCCTCAATCCGACCATGCTTTAATCATTGTTTCAGACATTTTTTAAATTTGGGAAAATAATTATAAGTAATAACTTCACTTGGTAGACTGTGAGCTGTGTTGGTTCAAAGATCAACCATTGGGTATATATATTGGAGCAGCCGGACATGCTGCTACCGAATACTGAGAAAAAATGTTATCAAAATTTTTGAATACCACCACTGTTTAACATCCCAACCTACCCACCTTTCCACCACTTAAAATTTGAAGATAATATCAATATATGACATGTCAGATGAGCTAGATGAATAAATATCATAAATACCATCACTGGTTAACACCCCAACCTACCCACCTTCCTGCCACTTAAAATTTGAAGATAATATCAATATATGACATGTCAGAAGAGCTAGATGAATAAATATCATACATACCAATAAACAGGTTTATTACTTTGGCCGACACAGATTTATAATAAGTTGTAAAAGTTTGACCAGTCAAGCAATAAAAGTATTCAAATTTAGGAAAAGGTCAAGCATTGTACATCCTAGTCAGTTAACAAATACCATCAACAACATGGTTGGTTTATCAACTAAAATGGCTTATTGCCTTATATTGCCCATCTACCTTTTTCCAGGTCATTATTAAGAATAGATAACTGAATCCCTCAATAACCAACTGCCCCTTTTTAATCAACAGGTTTTTAAATAAAACCCCGAAATTATGCAATACATGTATTTACTGAAAACAATCCATTAAACTTGCAAATGGTCTTATTCTGGTGAACTATGGGGGAGGTAAAAATCTTAAATATTCTTAGACTTTTTCATCCATGGAAATTAGCAATGGAGGAAAAGGGAAATGTAGGCTATACATGTACACCATCCATCCCCATTGAGGTCTACCTATTTACAACTTAAAAAGTCAACCACGAACTTTGATATTTCCGTAAACATGTAAAATATGTGGCTAACGTACACTAAACAGAATGAACATGTAAAAGTACATATAAGTAAGAAATATTTCAATAACAAAGCCAGTTAATATTAAAGATCTATTGATAACGTAAACAGAATACGATAAAAAACATAATTTTTGGATTTAATCATCATTGAGTGTTGAGCAGCAGATCGGATTCAAATCCAGTGAAAATCTGACACATAAGATGGATTGAGAGTTGATTATGGTTTGGATAAGTTAATTAATGTCTAATTAATACATGTAGTTTATATAGGCAGAATTAGCTTTTGCATAATGTATGTTTAAACAAACCTGTAATGAAATAAAATTGAACAATGTGTTAGTCCTGAAATGACCTAGTTTGTGTGAGTGGCCGTTAATGTCTCTCTCTCTCTCTCTCTCTCTCTCTCTCTCTCTCTCTCTCTCTCTCATGGCTAACCAAGATATATTAGATGATGTTGTATTGAATCAGTTCTAAGTGTATGGGGGGTCACGGTGGCTAAGTGGGTCGGGTGTTCGACCCCTGCATTGGTCGAGAAAGTTCATCCAGATTTTCAGGCGTGGTTCCCCCTTGTCAGTGATGCAGGACGGAGGGCCTGACAAGGACAGCTGTCTAGTCATTCGGATGAGACGAAAAACCGAGGTCCCGTGTACAGATTGGCGTGCATGTAAAAGTTTCCTTGACAGTTGGAATTCGATATAAGAGTAGGCCGTAGTGCCGCTGTCTGGGCAAAATTTCCCTCATAGCACACTGTATGGTGTATGTCCGTCTTCATTCGCCCAGTTTGGAGCAAAACAGTGGTGTTTTGTTTGATTAGACCTAATCCCACTAGAGAGAGATTTCTCGGGCCACTGCTTCAGGAATATGGGGATATATCTGTAAACAATTTTAACAGTCAAACAGGTTTAGAAGACAGTGCCCCCACTAGGGCACCTGTAAGATTAAAACTGTTGCTTTTTTGCTGTGGCCGTCCCACCACACCACTGCATGTACATACATGTATAATGTAATTAATAGTTTCCAATCGTATACATGTACATGTACGGTAATCAATAGTCTTCAATATTCATGCCAATTAATGATCTCCAATTATTAGATATAAAGATATGTACATATATATTTCTTGTCAAATGCATTATATACATTCTTGTCATGCATATTAACACGATGCATTATATACAGTATCATATATCACAAAATCATGCTACTCATTAAAGGGACAATAACACTCTTGCTGGCTTGACAGCTCCAGAAAATAAAAAATAGCTTTATTCTAAGTACCAGATGTGTTAGTGTCCTACCTGTTGTGTAAATTATCCATTAAATCCTATTTTACTTGTCCAGAGGGTTCAAAAATATTTTTAAATCCAAGTCTCATTTGAAAAGCTTTACATCAGGCTTTTCAAATCATTTAGTTGAATTTTTCTAATTTTTAAATTAGGTGTATTAAGATCAAATTTGTATCATCAATTAATTGGAATATTGTAAAATAGTACAATTTGTTGACCAGAATAAAGATTAGGACATATTATTCAGTTACAACAAGAGTGGTATTGAGCCTTTAAAGATGGTAAACCTCTAGTGTATTATTTCTAGCAATGATGGGACATGCTCTATATACATACAGTTACATTTTGCTTTACAAACTTGTGTAACTCTTTGATTTGGAGAAGGGAAGGGGAAAGCAGGCTATATCAGATCGATGCTAAAATGAAATTATTTCTGTTGACTGTTTTCAGGAAATAATCCAAATCAAGTATTGCAATCAGAATTTTGAAAAATCCTGGCATCACCACAGATATAATTGGAATGAAACAGGCACTATTTCAATACTTAGTTTTTTAATGGTTAGCCTGGGTTGGATGGCCAAATGGTTAGCACGCGTGCACTGTATCATATGGTCTGTCATTGAGTCAACTGGCAGGGTTTCGATTCCCCGGTTGTACATGTATGTGACAAGGAGTAGGGTCGCCTGTCCATCCTCCTGGGTTTTCTCTGGATCCTCCGGTTTCCTCCCACTGCTAAAGACCCCTATGCACAAGCGAATCATTGAAATAAAATTGAACCATGTGTTAGTCCCAAAATGACCTAGTTTGTGTCGAGTGGACGTTAAACCCCATTTCTCTTTCTCTCTTGAAAAGTAAAGCCCTGTTTGACCTCAACACAAATAATGAAAGTTTGTTAACTCTAAGTATTACACTAGCGTTTCAATAGTCAGTCATGTTTAAAAATCTATTCATGATTAATTAAACATACATTATGCAAGATTTAAATCTGATTATTGCAAGTCTTTATTTAGGCTTCAGATGTCATAGAAATTATAAATTAGATCTTTATTTACACAACAAGCACAAAATCAACTCTGTAGACCCAC